CGCACGCACACGCACGCACACGCACGCACACACACACACACACACACACACACATACACATACATACATTCAGGTTTTGTTTTTTCTTGCAACTGTCACATTTAACTTGCTCAATAATTAATATTTTATTTTATATATAATAAACATTTAAAACATTTATTTAAATAAACACTTAAACCATTTTATTTACTCAGATATTTGCCTGTGTGACAACTAGCCCTGGGCTTTAAGTCTTTTACTTGAGAACTTGGGAAATGTAGATTATTTAATGTAATGTTTTCTCCCAAACATAAATTTATATATAAATGACCCTGGGCCACAAAACCAGTCAAAAGGGTCAATTTGATGAAATTGAGATTTATTTATTTATTTTTATTTATTTATATAAATATACAATATGAAAACATTCCATTAAATAATATACATTTCCCAAGTTCCAAGTCAATAATTCATATTTTATTTGATATATATTTACAAAATAATGTTACAATTGAGTATAATTCAGTATTTGGCTTCATTCGATGTAGAGATGCTTATTCTTATAACACTTTAAAAATGGAGTGGATAAAAGTGGATAAAATCCAAACGTTGGGATCTTATCCACGAACATAAATAAAATGCCATTAAGAGTAATTTTTTTTCATCATTAGAAGCCGTCAGTAATCGATGTATTTCTCCAAGGCTGGCCTCTATAGGGATCTGTAGATCTAGGACACAAGTGCGTTCACGCCGCTTCCCCGCGCGCTCCCGGCTCTGCGCGTGCTCGCTCGAGCCCTTCCGCCGGGCGGGCGCACGCGCGCGCTCCGCTCAGGATGCTTGATTGTAGGTGATGATGGCGGAAGAGGAGCTGCGCTGAGTTTTCTCCCAGTTTTTTTTAAAAATAGACCCCTATCAGACGCTCGTCAGCAGATCTCGTCTTTCTCCTCCGTCTCACTCAGAGGGACTATGGGGAATGAAGCGAGCCTCGAAGGAGAGGGCCAGCCGGGGCAACCGGGAGGCGCTGTCCCCGCTGCTGGAGCCCCGGCTTCCATTTCAGCACCAGCGGGCGGCGGACAGCTCCTCAAGCCGAGCAACGGAGCGCCTGCCGGGGGAACAGGCGCCGGACACGGCCCGGCGATGAACAGGTATGCCGAGTCATTTCTAACGATTCTGAAGCGTCTATATTTCTGTGAATTAAATGCACTGCACGATACGAGTCTGTGGGGTCTAATCTTGGGCTTTTACATTTAAAACAACTAGTCACTTTTAGCCATATTCAGTATCGATCATTTATGCTTTTAACCGCCTTCATTTAGTTGCACTTCATACCCGATGTTTTACACCCAGTGGTATGCATTACCTAAACCTACTAAGCCAGTTGTCAGCTAAAAACCTCTATGTGTGCATAATATCAGGAATCAACATATGCTGCACTCAAGGGGTTATTTGATCTCTGGCATACTTGATGCATAGATCTATTTACATATGAGAATGTTTTGTTTTGGCGTGTTGTCTTATTTAGTGTATATTTTTCTATTCATTACAGACAGTCTGCGCTGTTAGCCTTGCTCTGTCCCGAACCGAGCAACCTATGTTAGTTTCAGAGTTTTAACATAGGATATTGATGAGCTGAATGCATGACTGATAATATTACCAAATGCACATGTATTATCAAATTTAGTGGAATATTAAATGCATATGGCAATCTGGTGTCTGATTTGGTTAGTTACAGAGCGAGGCATGTTCTGAGATAATCTGATGCATGTCATACTCTTATTTAGTCATATAAACCTCAGTTTGCTTAGGTGTGATGTTTTAATAACACTGACTATAGTCACATGATGTGAAATCCATTGCTTTGGCAGCCACGCCTAGCAGTGCTGATATCAAAATGCACTGGTACTAAAATCGCACTGTAAATGACACTTGAGGGATCCGAGAGTGCAAGCATGATAAAATGTTATAGTGTTAATAATTGATAAAATTTTGACGAGCATCCATGTGACTAAATCTGTTACACGTGCAAGCGAACATCTTTCACTACCTCTCTCTCTATTCCTCCCCACTCATCTCCCTCTATGTTCTTTAAATAATGTAATGTGTGAATATCCTTGCACTCGAAAGATTTCGAATAATTCAAACTTTGTGATGCGGCTTATGCTGTTTGCAAATTTGCTAGCTGTCCTTCTCTGTCTGGGTTCATATTGTGTAGCAGTGATTCTCCAGTGGTTTTGCATCAGCACACAGATTTTACATTGGACATGAAGTGGCAACCCAGAGCAGTAGCAAAATAGTTTATTGTATAAAAAGTCTCTTGAATTACAATAGTTTGGTGCTCTTGGCAGCCAATAATTCATAGTACAAAGCACATTATGGTTGGCACAGACATTTATTTTTGTCTGGGTTGTATTTTCTTTTACATTGTGTAGTTTTCATCATACTTTTTGGATGAGGGCTGGTCATGTATCTTGTGCATAGCCTTTGACACCAGCAACAAAACATGTAGAAAGCGTTTCTTTCATTGAAAAAGTTGATAAGTCTATTTATATTCCTATTGTAACTATGCACGATTATATGGTTAGTTTATTGTTTTTAGCATTGTTTTTTTCCTGCAATCCACTGGTTGAGAAGCACAATTATACTATAAGTGGCATTTTATAATTTGCTTTTATGAAATTATTTTAGATTTATTATACTGTAAATGTTGATAAGATGCACAACCATTTGATGTCCATGATAAATCTGATGCATGTCATACTCTTATTTAGTCATATAAACCTCAGTTTGCTTAGGTGTGATGTTTTAATAACACTGACTACAGTCACATGATGTGAAATCCATTGCTTTGGCAGCCACGCCTAGCAGTGCTGATATCAAAATGCACTGGTACTAAAATCGCACTGTAAATGACACTTGAGGGATCCGAGAGTGCAAGCATGATAAAATGTTATAGTGTTTGGGAAACCTTTTCTCTTCCATTGTAAAAGTTGACAATTTTCCAGTCCTAAATATGCATATGGTTAGTTGCATTATATTATTTGCTCTTAGCATCCCCCCCCCCCCCCGTAACCCCTTTGCCCCCCCCCCCCCCCCCCACGTAAACCCATTGGTTGATCTGAGAATTGATTGGATAATATTATATTATCTGATACAGTAACAGACGAATTTGTGTCCTAATACTGTACATTTTTATTGTCTACAGTAACAGATGAGTTTGTGTCAATAGACCTTAAGTTTTGATTGGATGCCCACCTTTTGACATCAACAACAAAACATATGGGAAATGTTTTCTCTTCCATTTTTAAAGCTAAATATGGACAATTATACAGTTTTTTCCCCCTGCAACCAATTGGTTGAGAATCACAGATAATCTAATATAATTGAGTAATAATAATGATTGGATACTTTAATTTGACTTGCATCTACAGTACCAGATAAATTTGTGCCAAAATAATGTAAATTTCGATTTGGATGCACAACCCTTGACGTGAACAACAAAACTTGAGGAAAATATTTTCTCTTCCATCTTAAAAGCTGACAAGCCTATTGATTCTCCAGTCCTAAAAATTCACGATAATACGGTTCGTTGCTTTATATTTTTTGCTTTTAGCATTGTTTTCTCTCGCAACCTACTGGTTGAGAACCATTGCTATATTAGATAATATGCTAGACGTCCTTGTCTTAGAAGTTACACTCTTAAAAATAAAGGTGCTTCACGATGCCATAGAAGAACCTTTTTTTCTAAATGGTTCCATAAAGAACCTTTAACATCTGAAGAACCTTTCTGTTTCACAAAAGGTTCTTTGTGGCGAAAGAAGGTTCTTCAGATTATAAAAAGGTAAGAAAGAGATGGTTCTTTAAAGAACCTTTAACTGAATGGTTCTTTGTGGAACCAAAAATGGTTCTTCTATGGCATCGCTTGAAGAACCTTTTGAATCACCTTTATTTTTAAGAGTGTAGGCTTGTTTTGCATTTTGCACAACTGTGTCTCAATTGTTTTTGAAGTGCAGATACACTGTGTAACGAACCTGAAACATTGATTTACAATGCAATGATGCAAATGAAGTGTATTTGTTGCAGGTGGGTGACCTAGCTGTCGGCTTGTTTATAGTCAGGCCTCTCACAGTAAGACTATATTCTTGATGTCAGCGTTTCTCTATGGTCTGATTGGTCTGTTCGTAAGCTAAAGTTGAATCTGCTTGGACGTGTGAAATGCACAGATGCATTTGTACAGCAGTAATGTTACTGCTGCACGTACTGGCTGTCTGTCGGTGTCTGACCGGCATCATTAAAACTCCTGAACTGGGTGTGTAGTCGCAGTCTTAGCCTTGCGTGAGTGTCTGAGGCAAAAACAAACCCATGGAGGATATTACAACCTGGGCAGGGGAAACATTTGTTTTTCTCATGGGCCATTCTGAGTCTCTTTTTCTTTCTACTTGCGTACGTCTCATGTTTTTATTGATGTACTGAAATGTCCAGATTTTTCTGTACAATGTCATCCCGTCATACACACGCATGGTGTGGGAAATGGCTGCATCTCCCCTTTGTTTGACAGAGTGGTGTTATGGCTTATGTACCATATCAAGGCACTTCATCATTCACTGGTAAAGTGTGTGAGATGCCTACAGATGAGGCAAGATCTTGTGCTAATATCCTCATGTGTTTCTTTCATTCCAAAATCTTTTAAAACTGCTGTCAAAGTTTGATGTTTGCTGAAGCATATCTTTAAAATCATTTCACAACATTGCGGTTGGTTTTGTGAACTGAAAGCAGCAATATTGGGGAGTAACTTAATAGAAGTGGTAACATTACTAACTTTTTTAGTATTGTCACAGTAACTCAATTTTTTGTAAAATAATGTACATTTCTAGTAACAAGCTGCCAATCAAATGTTCGCTCGAATTGCCTGGGGTTTCTGGCTTAGTTCATTGTAGTGAGTCATTTCATTTGGATGGTTAATTTTAATGAATTGGTTCAAAAGATGATTCATTTGAGTGAGTCAGCCGTGTTCCTTGAACTCCCTGTGCAACATTTTTTTAAATGTTTTTTTGTTTGTAATGAAATAATGTCAAGTTCAATACTGTTGTTTAGCACTGTTATGCTTTGGATTCATTGTTCAAAAGTTTAGGATTACTATAATAATAATAATATTTAATATTGTGAAATATTAATGGAATTTAAAAGAACTGTTTTTCTGATGCAATTTATTCCTGTGATGGTAAAGATAAATTTTGGTTATCGTTATGGTTTAGGCTTTTGTAAGAAATGTAAGATTAAAGTTTGTTAATCTCCCGTTCAATTTTACTTTGTTTGAATGTTTGCTGTTTCACATTTGAATTGTCACATGATCCTTCAAAAGTCATTCTAATATGCTGATTTGCTATTCAAATTTTAATTAATTAATTAATTAATTTTTTAATTATTTGATGAATGGAAAGTTCAAAATAACAGCATTAATTTAAAATTAATTAATTTGAAATATAAATTTTTTGTAACATTATAAACATCTTTACTGTCACTACACATCTAATGTATTCTTTCTTAATAAAAGTATTAATTTCTTTCGAAAAAACAACAACAACAACTTCTTGTTCCCAAACCTTTGAACTGGTGTAAAGCATGCAATATTTACTTTCAGTTTTAGTGTATTAACAATTTTTTGCTGTAATTTATATATTTATTGCAACTGTATACCAGATAAATGTTGCTCTTTTTCACTGAATTATTATAATTTCATAAGAAGATAAGTGAAAAGAAATAGCCCCCTTACATAGCTTCAGTATATTTAGCTATTTTTTAAGCTTTAGTGAAGTTAAAGAGTTAGTTCATCCAAAACTGAAAATTAGCCCATGTTTTACTCATCCGCAAAGCATCCTAGATGTAAATGACTTTCTTCTTTCAGATTAATCCAATCGGAGTTATATTAAAAATTATCCTTGCTCTTCCAAGCGTTAGAATGGCAGTAGGTGGGTGTTTTGTTCAGCAGTCCAAAAGTAGCCAAATAAATTCATCCATAATAAAATGTGCCTCGCACGGCTCCGGGGGGTAAATAAAGGCCTCCTGTAGTGAATCGATGCGTTTTTGTAAGATAAATATCCATATTAAAAATGTTCTAAACACTTTTCTCTCACTTCCGCTGACTGAC